GTAACGCCAGCGCTGCGCCCGCACAGCAGACGGCTCCTCTGGAGTTCACCGGTGCTGCGGTCAGGTATGTACCCGGGGTGAGGGGTATGTTGGGCTGGGTGGTGGGTGTAGTGGGCTTTTGCTTGTTTGGATCAATGATTTAGTTGTAGCTTCTTGCGATCTTTCCAATAGCTGACCTCGATTACACCTTCCACTGATTCCCATTGATTTATTATATCTCTTCGAAATCATGTGGATCACACACCCTCACAACTCATTGGAACTTCGATACTTTTTACCAATCTACATGAGGCTGTCTTGTCCCCGGGTCACGTGGAGCACGCTAGTCCAGGTGAGCACTAGCGTTTTAGCTCAAGGCTGTGCATCGCTATTTATATCACTCCACCTCCTCTTCCGCTCACCTACCTCACCATGTTCTCTTACTCGGATCTGGTTGGGCATAGCTGCTCCACGTGTTTAAAAGCTATCTCCATTGTGCATGTGAAGGAGCCAGACCTCGAAGGCGACTGTTTATGGTTCTTGTTAGCGCAAATTTGTTTTGATTGGGCTGCTACCATCACGCAAACACGACCAACATGGATGGATTTAGAGAGAGAGGGCAGATTTTGTATTTTCTATGATGATGAGGAAGTAGTGGGCCCTCTAGAAAGGCATTTTGAGTACTTTCTCACAAACGCAGGTATGCGTGCCCCTTTCTGCGATGGAGATTTCCAGCTGGTGGCATCTGGCTCAGGACCTAACGAGACCGACAGATGCATCCGAGTCAGTATCAACTCCCTGCTTTAAGAGGCACCTTCCTGGAGAAACATCTTCAACTTCAACTATCAACACGATCAGGGGTTGGATGAGCGAATGTACGTCAGACCATTCCAAGTGCCAATGGGTTCGTGCACAACAAAGAGAGCTCAGCGGCATCAGATTCCTCCGCATTGAGAATGGGTATGTGACACTCACCGAGGGTGTGACACCCGAACGATATGCCTGTTTGAGCTACTGCTGGGGGGACGGAAAGAATGTAATCAAGACTACTATCCAAAACCGGAGTGCCCATATCAAGACTGGTGTGAAGGTTGAGAATCTTTCAAATACGTACCAAGATGCCCTGATAGTCTGTAAAGAGCTTGGAATCGAATACATATGGATTGACAGCCTTTGTATAGTGCAGGACGATGACGAAGATTGGCGCAGCCAGGCTTCTCGCATGGCTTACATCTACGAAAACGCATACGTGACTATCGCTGCGGTTGCAGCACAGAACACGTTCGAGGGCATGTTCAATACAACTTCAAAGTCCCGTATGGGTTCTTCGTTGCCTGAACTTCCTTGGATAAACGTCCGCGAAATGCTTCGTTTGCCCAATACCAGGAGCGAAGACTATCGCAGCAGAACAGATGATGGATGGGCATTATACAAACGTGGATGGACTTTTCAGGAACTTCGTTTCTCAACAAGAGTTCTCCATTTCGGTTCTGAGGAAGTTCTGTGGTCTTGCAAAGAGAGACAAACGTCCGAGGGAAATCCCGACAAAACGGCTCTCCTACCACTCCATGTCTCGATAAGCCCACCCATAGCTTGTAGCCCATCACAAGTAACATGGTGCAGCATTGTGACAGGCTACTCCTGGCGAAACCTTACATTCGGGAAAGATAGGTTGCCTGCAATTGCTGCTTTTGCAAGTTGTATTCAGGCACATTGTGTTGAAAACCGGTACATAGCTGGTCTGTGGCAAGATACACTATTACTCGATCTACTTTGGTCCTGTTATGAGGGGAAAAATCAGCTCAAGCCTACCTATCCAGTTGAACCGGGAACCATACCAAGCTGGACATGGGCATCATCGATACGTCCGGTACATTGGATGTGGGTGGATCGAGATCTCTGCCAGGGCATACCTTGTACTCAAGTCATCAAAGTCACCTACAACACTCAGGGTCCCCCAACACTTGGCGACATTATTGAGGCCTTTCTCGTACTTCAAGCACCGATGATAAGGCTGTGCAAAATCAATGATAGAGAGAGAGGGCCTTCTCTCAAGTACGTATCGTACGCAGGGGTAGCTCCCGGTCAAGGTGTAACGTTGAGCAATTACAAGTGGGATGATCTACAACCTTGTAGTCACTATCATGCCAATGCTCAGGAGGCTCTTGCTATACCACTGGTTGCCCCAAGACTAGGCAGTATCCAAGACAGCAGCAGAAACAACAATGCGCTACTAGTGGTGGAAGAGTGTCCCGGTGTATACAGAAGAGCAGGGGTTGGAAGAATTGACTTGTCGTCAGATCTGGCCGAGAGGGATAGAGTCCGCGGCACTTCTCTGGAGCAGACGTGGTCGGAACGAGAGCGACAGGTTGAAAGGAACAGACGATTCGTTGAGGTGATGGATAGATGCGAGAAGCGAATCTTGAAACTAGTCTAAAAAACGTCACAACTGTATTCTCATAATTTCCTAACCATGCAACTGAGCAGCCACTTAGACTTGCGACCAATTATGTGGCGTCAGGAACGTCAGCGCTGTTGGCTTGCAAATACCGTGTCATCATAATGTACTTGAGAAAACATCGAGCCGTCCATCCGTCGTCGCGCATGTTCGCCAACGGATTTCCACAGTCTGTCCGCCCGAAAGTCCTTCTCATAAATTAATACTTTCAGGGACATCAAGCTGATGTAAAACCTCGATGAAGGAGAGCGCGTTTCGCACATAGCCTCTAGAATGCTTGGTTTGAGAGCTTGAATCCAAGCATGAACTTGAGTGATGTAATCGCGTACGGTAACGAAGGGATGCGTAGTAGGCAGCACCTCGAGTGACGGCGGAGGTGGTGGGCAAGCCATGCCGCAGCAGCGCAAAAGGTCCCGATCTTCATCATCTGAGTCCCCGGTCCACTCTTGATTATCCCAGTTATCGTCTCGATGCACCGCTTCCCATATGTATCCCCATGTGTCTAGATCGTCTATGTTTACGCTGATCGACGAGATCGGTAGCTCCGTTGCGGGCGAGGTGGAGATCTTGTGAAAGGAATGACCGTCGGTAGTGTAGGGTTCACATTTGAAGTCTGGGCCGAGGGTGTCCGCAACTTTGACTGAAGACTCCAAAGGACCAAACAGCGACAGGTGCACTCGCAGCATGTCCATTGAGCTTTGGATGAAGCCTCCAGAAGCGCGGAGTTCGTTGTAAGATGGAACAGAAGCTGACATGATGTAAATGGATGAGAAGTGTGCGAGGAAGGTCTGTCAGTTTTGAAGTGAGCGGAAACTGCTTGATGAACAGGATGCGCCACTTGTTTGGGTACTTGATCAATTACGCGTAGGGATGCGCGACGCCGCAATAAAAAAGAGAAGATACGAAATCATCAGCCGATCAAGGAGACGAGCCGACACGACAACCAGTATGCAAGACTGATCCGACACCCTGCAACACAACAAATCCAATGTTTCGTTGCCGTGCTTTCAAGATCCGAAAGTTTGCGACTAAACACGTGACGTCATGGCTTCTCGTCGCAACGATTGCGCCTTCCTGCCGTAAGCAGTCGCGTTCACGTTCACCTTCTTGGCGTGACGCAACGTAAACAATATTATTACTCACTTCAGCCTGGCCGCAGCCCTAGCCATAATATCCTTCGCATTTTCTTGCACCTTCTGCACGATCTCGCCCGCGCTTTGCACTTCCTTCACCAACCCCACACCAGTGCCAGCCCAGATTGCTGCACGCCCTTGCAAGCCCGTATTGTATCCCTTATCTTCACCCGCAGCGGCCTCATTGTGCAGCTTCTGTATCTCTTCCAGGCTCATGCCGTTGGCGAAGTCCTTGTGGCTCTGTGCCACCAACCCGCGCCCATCATACAGCTCCGGCCAGATGTTGGGACCGCGCAACTGATCAAAAAGCTTCGAACGCGTCGTCACCTGACCACCGTCTTGCGCCTCCAGAACTGCGGCTTGGTACACCGGATGAACGTTCACCTCTTTAGACGCGAGGAAACGCGTTCCCATCACGACGCCTTCGGCACCGAGGGTGAGTGCTGCAGCGACGCCGCGTCCGTCGACGATACCACCTGAGGCAACGAGAGGTATGTGTGAGAAGCCTTCCGCAGCAAGCGCGTCGGTCACCTCCGGTAGTAGCGATACGATGCTTGCGCCTTTCTCGAAGCCGTGACCACCGGCGTCTGCGCCCTGGAGACACAGCACGTCTGGTCGCGCTATCCTCGCAACGTGAAGAGCCGCTGCGACGCTACCGAGTTGAATCCAGATCTTGCTCTCGGGTGAAGCCTTGCGTATCGCTGGTACCCATTCCGCGTAGTCGTCCAGATCTTTCGGCACGAACAACCAGATGACCGCGGGCTTGTAGCCATCGAACACCGGAAGAATGTCTTCGAGTTTGAGCACAAAGGGAAGGAAGCCGACGCCAACTGGGAGAACACGCGACGCCGATAGTTCGGGACTGGTTCTGAAAGCTTCCGTCGCGATATCCAACTCTTTCCGCAAGTCGTCCATGCTGCGTAGACTTCCGATCATACCGAGGCCACCAGCGAGTGTCACAGCTGACGCGAGCTTACCGCCTGCGAAGCCCGCCATCGGCGCGTTGACGATGAGCGGTGACAACGTCCATGGCAGCTGCTCTTTGAGGGTCGACATTGCGGACCAGAACCAGATCCAGGAAATGTTGAAAGCTGAGAGAGGAGCTGTCGGTAAGAGAGACCTTACTAAAGGCTGTACTTATAAGTGTAGGAGTAAGCAACACCCTTCGTCAGACGTCCGAAGCCATGTTGGGCACTCGACTTTACCACCAGCTCCATGCGGTTACAAACGGTGCATCGTGTCAGCGACAGTCAGCAAGCAACTTACGCCCAACTTGATTTGGTGGAAGTTCTCAGTGGAGATGCGTACCGATGCCACGACAGCTCCTTTGCCCCGCACTGAGCCCCACCTTCGCCTTTCAAGCTCTGTCCTTCGTAATTTTGCAAAATATATTGCAACTTTTTTTCCAATTTGGCATCAAAGTTGGTTCGATGGTGTAGTTGGTTATCACGTTCGCCTCACATCTGTATGTGTACACGCGAAAGGTCGCGAGTTCGAGCCTCGCTTGAATCATTCAACTGTGTTTTTGCCGTCCCGACGGTCTCGCTGTGAGGTGGATCGACGTGGCGGCATCATTTTTGCCCAAAATTTGATCTCGGAGATAGCCAAGAATCTGACATAGCTGCTACAGGGAGTAATTGCGGATTGGCTACATAGCATTTAGGAATACATCTGTTTATACACAGAAGGATTATAAGACTATAGATAGGTCTGACGTCTATAAGCGGTTCGACTCATCAGCTCCATCGACCAGTAGATCTCACTTGAAGAACATGTCTTTTCCACAGCTCCGGCTAGCTTGAAAAGCTTCATATGCTAACTTGATCGGAGGCAAGACGCACTCGCGACCGTACCGCCTTCGGAGAGTATGTCGAGGCTGTCTACCCCGACCAGTCGTCGGAGACCGAAGACATCTGGAACTCTGCGACTTTCATCCCGCGCACAAAGAAGTTCCTCGGTGCAATGGCTGATCTCAGCACTAGTCATCCAAGCGACAAGATCGAAGCTGGCAGTCTATGGCAGCTCAAGCATGGTCTGTATCGGTGGGCTTCTATCTTGTTGCCGAACTTCAACACCATGTGGCAGAAGTGGCACGAGGAAGTCTGCCGTCATATTCATTTCGTCGCTGTGCAGTACGACCTTGATTTAGCGTCAAACGCCAAGAACAACCTCTCCGATCCTGAACTTGCTCTCATCTTCCGAATTATCATGGAGCGTGACTACGGTGACGCGAATCTCAAGCAGCAGTGAGCTGCCATGCTCCTTGTCTGGACCACTAGTTGTCGCCCTGGTACCTTCACCGTATCCCAGGGCTACGGCAAAGGCGCGAGACTGGGTAATGCATCCCTTCCTACTCATCGAGCTTCTCTGACTGTCTTCTAGGTGTCGCTGGCAACGTTCGTCAGACTGATGAGACCATGCGCTGCTCCGATCTGAAGTTCGTATGCATGGCTCTTGGTATTACTTGTCAGGTTACATTCGGTTTGCACATGGACTAACGCAACCCTCACAAAGATAAAGCACTTGCTGAAGACGGTGAAACATTTAGTTTCTTTAAGCCTATGTAGATATCTTAGTAGTTAATGACAGCAAAGATCAAACCTCTTAATTTTTATGTAGATATTTTAGTAATTAATGCTACCAAAGATTGAGCTTCCTCACCTTTATGTCGATATATCAATAGTTTATCCTAGCCAAGGTCAAAGATTTTAAACTCCATGTAGATATCCTAGTAATTAGTCGCTCAAAAACACCTGCTCCATTTCGTGCATATTTTGATTCTACATCCAACAAAGCATCCAAGAATGGGGATCATCCGGTGCCGCTATTGAAAGCTCATACCCAAAACCCACGGCTTCCTCCTCTCCAAATCCAAAATCATCTGTCCAAACAAGCCATTCGCCCAACTAAACCACTGTCGACTCCACACCCCCTTATCCCTCGCATGAACACTCTCATGCATGAGGCCAAGTCCATCGGTACTCTGCACCACCCACATCAAATTCCGAACGATCTCATCGTCGTCTTCGCTTGTCAGGATGGTCATGATGAGCGCCATAGGCCACGGTCGTCCGGGCAAGGTATGCGGACTCGCCACACCGGTGATCACAGGTCCGACGGCGTAATAGGGATTATCCCTCGACAAGATCTTTCGCTGTGTATTCTGGTATATCGGATCGCGCAGCGTCGTGTACCCCAAAAACGGCGCTGACAGCAACGAAGGAACATTGGGATCGTCCATGATATTCACAGACCCATATCCATCGACTTCATACGCGTAAACGCTGCCGAAATTGGGATCGTTGACTATCCCGTATTTTTCCACGCCCCGGTTTATCGCTGTGCTGAGGGTTTTCATGCGTGCAGCTAGCGGGTTCTCGCGGGACGTGATGCGCGACATTATTGTTGAGGAAGTGTTGAGGGCAGAGGAGAACATCATGTTGGAGGGGATGAGGTATTGGTATGTACATGCGTCGTCGCTGGGGCGGTGGAACGAGCGCACAAGGCCGATGTTGCCTTTGTGTGGACTGCCGTTGCAGTTGTTGATTGGGGTGCCGCCGTAGGGAGCGCAGTATGTGTAGGGCGTGTGCTGCCATTCTCCGTCCTCGGTGTAGGAATCTATTGTCATGCTTTCTGTGGTGTTCAACACGGTTTCAACGGCTTTGGTCCAGTTGCTGCTCTTTTCGAAGAAGTCGTAGTCTTTTGTTGCTGTTACGTAGTCGACGGATAGTTGCAGGAAAGAGGCCAGGGAGTCTAGTTCCCACTGACAGGAGAAGACTTTGTAGTAGTCGAACGACGGGGTGATGCGGTCGCTGTTCATACTGCTCTTATGTTCGACACCGCTCTCATCCGGTGCTTGGAAGGCGTTGCAAAACGCGTTTTCGAGAATGTAGCGTGCTTGTAGATTTATGGCTCCCCGGAACAGTCCAGCTAGACTGTCATGACTGTTGTCTTCTTTCAAAACCGAGATGTATGCTTGGAGTTGGTTTGCAGAGTCGCGCAGCCACATTGCTTCAATGTCGCCCGTGATGACAAAGGTAAGTTCCTCAGGCTTCATGCTCATCAAAGGCCCTTCCAACGAGTCCGGGTCGCTAGTCGTGTTCGACCATCCCCGCCACGCAATAGTCGTATCCAAAGTACTCGGCCATGAATTCTCGAATATCTGCATTCACATCAACACATCATCTCGACAACACTGCAGTAGCGAAGTCGCATACACGAAAGAGATCCGGATCCTTAATAACACCTCGTAACCTTTCGATCGTCTTCTCCACCTCTTCCGACCGATACGTCCGACACGGCACAATCGGTCTAGCATAACTCAAATTCCACGTTCCCTGTGTGAAGGGTTCGTGGTATTGCGCGGCGTAGTTTTGGTAGAGCGGACATTGGGCCGAAGACAGGGATGGCAGGAGAAGCGAGATGCAAGGGATCAGGATCTTTGCGGGTGACAGCCTCATCGTGGCGTGCGCGACGGGCCGATAGTCGCCTGGCAACCTAATAATGTCGTGCGATTCGATGCGACAATGAAATAGCGATTAGAGGATATCGCCGATGGGCTAAGATGGAGTTGAGCGGATGCGATGTTGCCCGTGAGAGGTGTGAGAGTTAAGCCAAGCCGGCACGAGCCACATGTCACTCGGTTGCAACGGATCGCAGCGTGGTACTAATAAGGTGCCACGAGCAGTCGCGATACGAGGAAACAGTAGAAATCATTTGCGGACAATAATCCACTACCGAGGCGGATGGCAGTGGTTCATTTGTATAGATTGCGTGCCAAGAATGCTCCTCCGTCTATGAACCCCGCTCCGGAAGGACGATTCCAGGCACCATCTGATCAGCCCTTGACGATGGCTCTTACTCGCTTCCTCTCTTCAACATCCAAAACCCAGGGTATGCCCGAGTCGCCTGATGTATCTTCCGCCACTTCTGCGAACTCATCGTCTTCCATGTTGAGAATCAGCGTCATCTGCGTACTCTTCTGGAAGACGTCGCGAAGGGAATATGCGCCGCCACTTGTAGCCGCTGTGATGATGCCGGAGATGTCGCGCTCGAGTCTAACAGCACCCAACTCATTCACCCTACCGTAATAGCTTTTGATGCGCTTCTCAAGTGACGACGCAAGAGAGTTCAGACCTAGAGCGAGGAGTCGGTCGAAGTTCGCTGAGGTCAAGATGCGCTTGATGGGACGGATCACGACTCCCCAGCCGCGATCGAAACGCGACTTTACCACATCGACGTCCTCCTCCTCTTCGTCTTCGTTCTCGCCATCCTCGGGATCGTATTTCACATCTCGGAATGCTTCAGCCAGGATGGGTCGAATGCGCGGCTTGAGGACGTTGGAGAATAGTACGGTGATGCCGTCGTTGAGCAAATCTCCGCTCTTGGATGCGAAGGCTTTCTCCATTGCTTTCAACGTGTTCTCCACGAAGACCGCGTCATGTCCGAATGGGAAGAGGTCGTGTAGTGGCGACTTCACGTCGTCTTCGCCGCCTTGTGATTGGCGACCCAGTTGCTGCTGGACTATGCGCTTGACGTAGTCGTTTGCAATATCGAGATTGTTGATAAGCACCAGGAACGCAATGACCTTGTCCTCTGGAGGAAGACCACCTTGAATGACGGGTTTGGGGTAGCTTTCGTCGCGCATCTTCCGTTGTATCATGCCGATGAACTCGGCGCCTAGAATGTGGCTGACCGCAGGCACGACGCTAGAGACGACAGCACGTTGCGAAGTTGCTAGTGTCCGCTGAATGACCTGATTGACAATGTACATGACATCGTCTACAGCAGAGGTAATGAAGGGTGGGTTGGACCCAAGAGGCTTTGTAGGATTCAGTGTGAGATCTGCTGGGGCCTCGTCCAGCTGGAAAGCTTTCTCAACTGATCGACGGAAGAAGAAGGTTGTCATGGCATTGACAGGCTCGATGAGATGGCTGTTGACTTTCTTGTGGAGGTTACTAGTAGCAAGGAAGTTGGGCATCACAAGGCCATAGTCGATGCGGTCTTCAGGTTCGGAGGGCTGCTAGGGTAAGCTGATGAAAATACACACATGTGTCCGCACTTACTGCACACTTGTCTGAGAGGAAGCGCGCATACAGGGCATAGCGTCCCAGCATCAGCGCGCCCTCTCCAAGCAAACCGTCAATCTCTTTCATGTCCACTCCTTCATCCTCGCTTGCCCGTCCAGCACCGTTGGCTGGAGAACTAGAGCGCGGTGTTCCGGCGGCAGGTTTTTGGGAAGGCAAGAAGCTTTGGACAAGGAAGGAAAAGGCATATGATTTGATATCGGTAAGTTTGCGGTCAATGTGGCGCTCCTCATGCCATGTGTCAAGCACGATACCACCTTGGACATCAGCCTCAATCTGCAAACGTTCAATGACCTTCTGCATCATGCCTGGTCCGTAGTGGCGCTCTACTAGTGGCTCATGGCCGTCGACAATCTGGGCAATGTGCTCGAACAGCTTTGTGATGGTGTTGCCGTAGAAGAAGCCCTCATTCCGCTGGGCTGGCGCAGCAGAGTTGAAGTTTGTGCGCGCGCGTGAAGCTACTCCCTGGCAGACATAGCGGCCATATGCATCCAGTCCTACATTTGTCCGTCCGATCAGGGGAAACAGCTTGAAGAACCTCGTCACCTTGGAACCATCACCCTCTTGCGCGGCCTTTTCAAACTCGCGCAGGAAGAGGCCACATAGCGACTCTGCTGCTGCATCTAGTGTCACGCGCGGCGGGTCAGGCACCTCGGCCGTAGGTACAATCTCCTCTGCGAAGCTGCCATTTACGACGTCGTCGGGTATCTTGGCGGCGCGACTGAGGTAGCCCGCTGCCGTCTCCCAGTCTTGGGGAGCTCCCATAGACCCATGTACACCCAGCACGCATGCCTTCAGTTCCGCCACCTGTTCCACCACCTCGAGTGTGGCCTTGACATTGGACTGTTCCTGGTCTAATCGCTTGACGGCGCTGGAGATTCGGTTCGCAGTTGAGGCGGCGTCGGAGAGCATGCCACTGCTAATGGCGCGCGTGTTGACGGCTTGGGTGCCGAGGTGGGCGCGCAGCAGATCGAGGCGACCGAGTTCGCGCGAGAGATCCTTCTGCGAGGCGATGAGGGCGTTTAGGCGCTGGGTGACGCTGGCCTCCTGCTCATGCAATTGGCCGAGGGCTTCATGGATCTGAGCCACGCTGGCGGCGGCGAAGATGTCCTGGTGGTCGTCGATTTCAACTGCCATGTTCAAACACTGCAATCATGCCGCTGG